ACACAAACACTCTCTCTCTCTCTCTCTCTCTCTCTCTCTCTCTCTCTCTCTCTCTCTCTTCCTCTTCTACAGCTGGGACATCAATATTTATCTACAAATCTCACGTTCATAAAACTACCCAGGTGCAAATAAACCATGAAACCAATAGATAAAGAGCGTAGATAGAGTCTCATATTACCTTTACGAGATAAATCTCCTTGCAATTTCCGCTGTTTCGTGGGGTTTTCGTTTTTAGTCTTTGTTCCAAGAGAGCGAATCCAGTATATTAAATATCCCAGTGAACAATTGGTGACACATGTAAAACAAGATGGTCTATTATTCTATCTTATTTCATGACTCATTGAATCATAATTTCCACAGTGCCTCCTCCCCCCCACCCCCACCCCATCAAACAGATAAACTAATAAATGAGCCTCTCGTATTACTATCGTGCGGTTAAACATTCGTGGTTCAACTTATCCTCAAATATCTCTTTAACGGGTGAATCAATGTCATCCATACTTTGCATAGCAGTTTGTATCCATTTGTCTTAACTAAATCATATTTTTCTAGAAGAACTGGGGTTAGATTTAAAAAACTTTTCTTTATAAATTTATACAAAATACTTGAAATCTCTGTCACTCGTAACATGGTATTGTTCACAGCACTTCCCGCTTCTCACACACATTTTTGATTATGCATATATGGCCTACGTCACAGCTCATTAATGACTATTTTTACTTGCAAAACTTGTTACAAGAAATTAATGTTATAGTGAACACATTTCTGCATTAATGGCTCTCAAAACATGCGTTCAATAAGCATAATGTCCCGATTAGAAAAACCTGACGGACTTGCTATTAAAAGCAATATTACCCCAGCTGTAAACATTAAAAAATCTGTAGAAACCACCCGCTTGGATTTTTAAATTAGTATTCATTAAGGAATTTTCTAGAATACAGCTTGCAGGTGTTTACAAAAATGTTGATCTGTTAAGACAAATTGATACTGTGCAAAAATTGGAGAACCGATGTTTGATAGTTGAGGAGATATTTTAAAATAAGTCGCATCACGAATTTTTAACCGCACTATAAAGTGCATTGTCCTGATCTATTGCTCATTGTAGTCATAGTGCATCCAACATGGAGCATGCGCGTCCCCCCCCCTC